AATGCCAAGAGTCACGGTAATGTGTAAATATCATTTGATATGATATTGTTTTCCAATGAAACTGTCTCTTTTGCAAAAATACTTTCAAGGAAAGCCTCTTTTATCGAAGTCTGAGAACTTACTCTTGCAGCTCCAAATAGCTTGCAGCATTTTCGGAAATGAATTCACATACTAAGCAACCATCAGCCAAACTAGCAGTTCATCTCATTTTGCAAATCCCCAGTAAAGTCTGCTTTGGTGCCCTTTACAACCAGCAGGAAATTTTTGCTAAGAAATCACACTGAATATCAGGGTATCAGCCCCTTTCTCTCCTTCCTATATATTCTTTCTAGCTGGTAAAGACTGATGCCTCTTTTTGTCATTTTAACATGCAGGTTTGTTTCAGATAAGTGGCAGCAAGGTTATCCTGTAGTTTGCTTTCCTTTTAGTCTGTGTAGTTATCTATATGTCTTAGTTTCTCCTCCTGGATGCTCATTTCTGTATTCATACGTACATTCTTTCCCCCTTTTCCGATGACATTGCAGCATCTTCTTCCACTGGGGACCATCTGACCTACCCAGTGAATAGCCTTGACCCTTGCTGCGCTCTTCATCTTTAGAGGCTTTTCTCTCAGAGGGTGTTTTTTTTTATTTTTGCCAGCCACCTCGTAAGAGATGGAAATGAAAACCTGGGACCAAGCAGATAAATAACTGCACATCACTTAACACACAAGTGACCCTGAAGCTACCGCAGGGCTGGATGCTCAAAACCCAGCTGGTACCATGACTCAACAGCACCCTTCCCCTGAGGATTTCAGTGCTTCAATGTAGACGCATAGCTCTCCGGCCACCACACGTTCTTATTATAGGCCCCAGGTGACTCTGAGCTCAGACCTTCAGACAGAAGTGGGCAATTTTCCCAGCTGTTAATGAGGCTTCTTAGATACTGCATTTAGTATCTCATATTCACAATAAGTAAAAGAAACGGTCTCCAGAGATTTCAGTGGCTCCATGAGTACCAAAACAAACCCCAGCTTCTTTGATAGGTAATCTCAGCAACTAGGAAACCTAAAAATGATTGGCATACTCATTCTGAAATGCTACAATGTCTGCTCCCTTGCACAAATGAGATTCCATTCCAGTCAGCTACTGCATATTTATGCTCAGCCTTTCATTAACTTATTGATCATGTGATGATACACTATCCTTTGCTACCTTTGGGGAAATAAAACAATGGGGAAAAAATGTGCTCTAATGGTGGGGCTATTTCATGCTTCCTGAATATTCAGTCCAATCCTCCTGGTCTCTTCTGTCCTCCTTTCTCCCCAAAAGCTTCATGGATCTCCAAAGACATCCCACAAGAGAGGGTGACTACCATTCACCAGTAAGCCCCTGAGGCTGTAATTATGTGATTTGTAATTATACAGCTAAATCAAGGTCAAGTGTCTCCCTTTAAGGGTAAAATATGGTATTACACTCTAAATTCCTGTACTGCAAAAACAAACAGTGCCATCAATTCATTTCCAGTCAGACCTCCACCCCCTTGGGAAAAGCACGCAGAACTTTCTGGTGGGAAAATAGTTTGGAACTACAACCTCTTTATTAGAGTGAAAGCTCTTCCTTCATTCAGCTTGTCTTTCATTAGCCACCCTGGTACACTCCAGTGAGGAATGTGGCTTGAAGAGGTACTTTGAGGTCGCAAGAGGCAAGTCTCGAAGGGGTGTAGTTCATTCTCGATATATATTCATAACTCCTGACAAGATTATGAGGTCTGATCCAAAGCTACGTAACCACATGGCCATTTGTAGGTAAACGTTTCTAAGGAGGGTGGCTTTTTAAGGAAGGATTCCATTACCTTGCACACAAATGAAGCGTCTATGTTCTCTGTTTTCTTTGAGCTCTCTTACTATAAATAATATCTTCCTATTTTTCACCCTTCTGTTTGAAACACAGAGGGAACAGGTGAGGAGGAAAGGAAGGTTTTTAAATTCATGTGTTTCCTTAATTCAACACTGGCGTATTGGATGTGGGGTTGAGTAAAACTGCATTCGTATCCATGGTTCCTCTCTATCACTCATCTAAGAGGTGCAGGAGGAAGAGAAGAACTCTCAGTCTGCCTTACAGCCACACAATAACAGACCATGGTAATGCTCTTTCCATGCTCCCAGAGCAGACCAGGCCATGACTTGCAAGCAGGGAGCTGGCTGATGAAGCTCAGCAGAGCATTCCAGGAGAAACAGCTCACAGTGTAAATCTGGACCAACTCCACAGAATTTAGCAAAGTTACTGCAGATATGCTGTGGTGGCACAAAGGTCCAAAGCAGCTATTTGTGATAGCAATGAAAAAGGGACCTTTTCTTTCCAGGCCTGAGCCTCTCCTGACATGTGCCAACTGTGCCAGTGCAGTGTCATTGCTTCCAGTGAGGTTGCATTACTGCAACTGGGAGAAAATTTAATTCACTGGCTTCAGTGGTCCCGGCAGCAAATGCTGTTCTACCAGCAGCAATGGCTATTAGGCTCTATGTCTGGAGTTGCTCAGTAAAAAGAAATTGTGACGTTGTGAATTTTGTTACACCAAAAACATTCTTTGCAGTATGATGCCAATCATAGTAAACATAACCACCTATGTATCACCACAGATTTAAAAATAGTCATCATTTTCATGGGCAAAACCTGAACAACATATTTTGGATCTTCACCCTTGCCCAAAAGCAAACTCTGTTTTTTTGGAGTTGTTTGGGTTCCTAATGAAATCCTTAGTAGTTCCTAAGCTACGCAATTTGAGAAGGAAATGGAAGATAGCCATGCTGTTTAATGCATGTATTCATTCA